GCATTGATATATCCAGGTCAATCACGCATCGGTCCGTCATGATAACGCAGAGACACGGCAGAAAAATTTGGTGGTGGGGGGGCGTCACCACACCACACTCCCACCCACCTGCGCCGAACCTCCGCAAGCTCGCTCTCCCTGCGTCACGTCCCTTCTCCTCCTTCCTTCTTCATTCTCTACTGCGACGCTCGGCGATCGTAGGGCGAGCCTGCAGGGCGGGGCAAGCCTCGTCCAGGGTTCGTGCTAGGGTCTGTTACGGTTTTTTATATTAGACTAGCGAGAAGCCCACGCGCACAGCGCCTGAACGAGAGCAAACAAAAAGGAGATAGGCAGCGATTTCCCACTTGTCCAGTTTGTCTCTATATATAATCCTGCTATCTACTTGGCGGGGCGTGAAGATGCGCTCCAAAACGACGAAATCCTCAGCTCTGCTGGGGATGGCAGCGCTGACAACCTTTGTTGTGTTGGCTTCCCACAGTTGCGTGAGTGAGAATCTGAATATCAGCGCACGTGGGACCGCGACAGTGCAGCAGCCAATCAGAGCCAACGTCGTATCGGTGAACGCAGATAGGCTTGATGTCAAGCACATTGTGGACCGGTGAAACTCTGCTGTGTTGTCTAGCTACTCGTGGACGAGGAAGGGCTGGAAGAGAAGCGATGCTCGGTGAACCAGAGGCAGTGCAAGAGGTGTGGCAAGGGACTCACCGGTGACAAAAGGTGTGAGCTGTGCGAAGTGGGCTTTTTTCTGTCCAGAAACGCGTGCATACGTGAGCAAAGTGGCAACAGAATCGAGACGATCTGTCAGTTGTTTTCTCTACTCAGCAATGAATAAGTGTAACGTGTTGGGTGATACTGTGTTGGGTGACACACAAAGAAATGACGTCGCACGAACAAGGTACGCAAGGAAATTACCTCGTAGATTCAACTTCAAGTTCTCTTCCCTCCGCAGTCTGTTATCCTCCCTTGTTGAATGCCATTACAAGTGTGCCAGGTCACCCGGTTGTGAAGCAGTATCCTTCTATGATAATGGTCATTGCGTTCTCCACGACCACACTGCTCTTAAGACGATGGGCTACAAGCAGGGCGTCCAGAGCGCCAGGCTTGATTGTAAGCCTATTGAAGATCCAAGGGGGGACGGCTGTAGAGCATCTTATTGTGAAAAATGCGGCGAGGGAGACAGGGAGTGTTTGCAGTGCCGTGGTAACTTTACCAGGACCGACAAGGGGAAGTGCAGATACGAAAACAAAGAAGGTGATAGCACTACTTCACGAAGATTACTGAAACACTTTCTTGCTCGTGCAGAGGCCGACTGGCCAGATATCAGGCCTCCGACGTTCGGTTCTGAGTCTGAAATTATAAAAAATGAAGTGGCGAGGATCGTCAGTCTGATGACCATCGAAGAGAAGATAGGGCAAATGACAATGGCCCGCCAGAAGTGGATAAAACCCAGCGAGATGAAGTCGAATGCTGTGGGATCGTACCTGCTGGGCGGGGACGACGATATCGGCGACAACTCAGCACAGGCGTGGGCCAGACTCTCAGATCGTTACTGGAATGCAACCACGGAGGTCGGCGACGCAATCATCCATCCCCTCTTCGGGATCGATGCCATCCACGGGCACAGCCATCTTTCCACAAGCACATTGTTCCCGCACAACATCGGTTTAGGGTGCACTAATGATCCGAAACTCATTCGGAAGATCGGCAAGATAACCGCGAAGGAACTGGTGGCCACGGGTGTTGACTGGACTTTTGCGCCAACACACGCAGTTGCGCAGAACTGGCGGTGGGGGCGAACGTACGAGTCCTTCAGCCAGGTAAGGCAGCCCGATCAGGAGTGCGTGCAAATGGATGGTTGCGCTGCTGTGCGTCTGCAGATACCAGCGAATGTCGAGAGACTTGCCAAGGAATTTGTCATCGGTACAGCAATCGAGTCCCACAGGTCATCTCCTTCATACCTGGCCGATTTCATACTTCAGGCCTCCAAGGCGCCGTTAATGAAACATTTCTCGGCGTGGAAAATGTCCTTGGGTGTGCCAAGCACTTTGGGGGGGATGGCGGCACCGAGGGAGGGATCGATCAGGGCAATTTTCGTGGGACGCTGCAAGAGTTAAAAGACACCCATCTGTCGCCCTACTTCGGCTCAATCGAAGCCGGAGTGCAGACCATCATGGCATCGTTCAATTCGTGGAACGGCGTGAAGACGCACGGGAATGAGTTTCTGCTGAGGGACGTGTTAAAGAGGAGGCTGGGCTTCACCGGGCTGGTAGTCGGCGACTGGAATGGGCATGCACAGGTAGACGGATGCTCACCTGTCCAGTGCGACCAAGCAGTTGAAGCAGGTCAACAAAGCGAGATAAGCAGCAGGCAGGCAATGCACCTTCCCGTGTGCTTATACAGGTGTTGACATCATGATGCTAAGCAAGCGCGATTGGAAGGGTTATCTCCAGAACACGACAAGCTCAGCCAAAAAGGGCAGCATCACAGCAGAGAAGATCGACGATTCTGTGACACGAATCCTCACAGTCAAGGCTCTCTATGGGGCCATGACGACTCCCGCCCTCCGAGCAGCAGGCATAAAGGAGCGAGCCTCCCCGTCGCAGCGGCCTGGCGCAGGGCAGTCGTCGGTCTTGGAGGCTGCCGAGCATCGCGAGACGGCACGAGAGGCCGTACGGAAGTCTCTGGTCATGCTCAAGAATGGTGCCAAAGGAGCGACAGGCAAACCTGTACCTCTGTCCACGACGGGCAAGTATCTCGTCACTGGAAGGTGTGCAGATGACATCGGCCTGCAGAACGGAGGATGGACGAGAGACTGGTAAGCATGTGATTCTTATACCACCCACTGCGGGCTGTTGGGCTGGCTGATCGGCCATCTACGTGTGTCTTTCACACAGGCAAGGCAGTCCCAACTATCCCAACCGCTTTTTCGGGAAGGGCGAGTCGATCTACAAGGGCATCCGGGGGGGAATGGATGGCGGCGGGTCCGCAACCCTCTACCAGATGGTCGACGGTGAATTCCCCGACCTCAGCAGCTATGATGCCCTCATCTTCTGCACCGGAGAAGATCCATACGCAGGTAACAGCAAAAACCTTCGCATGAATCGTGTTCTCGTGATAATTGTTGAATGCCACCTAGAGTACTTCGGTGACCGGCACTGGCCAGCATCGATGGATTTTGGACAATTCCGTGTCGGCGCTGCCGATGCGGGATTCCTGGAAGAGGTCCGGACCAAGTACCCGTCTCTGACCATCGTGACCCTCTTGTCCTCGGGCCGCCCACTCTACGTCAACAAGGAGATCAACCTGAGCGATGCTTTCATCGCGGTGTGGCTACCTGGGACACAAGGTGGCGGGGTGGCAGACGTGCTCTTCGGGAAAAACGACCTTGTGGGCAAGCTGTCGTTTCAGTGGGCATTGGATCCATGTGTAACCATGGAGTACAACGGGGCTCATGGTAACGATCCGCCGTTCACTAATCTGATGCTGCCGATTGGGTATGGGCTGACGTACGATGACGAGTCACTGATGCCAACTCTGAACGTCGATCATTTACCACAAGTAAGTTGACATGTGGACACATACGCGAAAACTGTTTCTATGTTCAACTTTTATGCTCGCTGGCTTTGTATGATCAGTGTGATCAGGAAAGGAGGTAGGACACACCGAATTTAGAGGGTGGGGGAGCAGGGGTGAATGTGCCTTGGGAAAAGTCGATCCACCGGAGGAGTTGATGAGGGGCTCGCCGAAGGCCTCGCGCATCTTCTCATCGACAAAGGAAGCCGTGGATGGCACGGCAGGGCCAGCAGAGGGGGAGACGGCACCGATTCATCATCATCGCAAACGGCCGGGTCCGCGGGATACTCAAAATTCGTGCACGTGCCGCGCTTGCAGTTGACACAGTCAGTGCAGAGGCGCATCCTCGGCTGCATGTGGACAGCGCAGACTTCCCTTTCGCGTTGCATGCGCAACAGGGGAGCCCGCCGCCGTCTCGCGGGATGAGGGTCGCTGGAGGGGGCTGGGTGTAGTCCGACACACGCTCCCTCATCCGAAAAGGAGGAGAAACAGCCGAAAAATCACCGACTCAATCATTGGGCTATAGATGGTAGAGAATGAATGAATGGTGTAGCAGTGAATGACTAGTCTTCGCTCTGTCTTTGCTGCACAGTCGATGCGGAGAAAGCAGGCAGGCAGGTAGTGTGTGTCTCTGTACAGACTTGTGTGAGGTATATCTCGCGAACCAGAGCAAGTGAGAAGACGGCTGTTTGAGTGGTTAAGGGGCTTTCCGTGTCGTTTCAGTTGGGGCTAGCCCGGTGCGTGTCTATCCAGTCGCTGCACAGAAAACAGTAAGGCAGACAATTGTTGTCGTCAGACAGAATTGAGTGAAGCACATCTCGCCAACCAGAGTATGAAGTGAGAGTCTTTTGAGTGAGGCTTCAGATGCGGCAGTCCGATCCGTGGTGGTGTCTTGGTTGCAGAGAAGGAGGCGAGTGGATGATGGGCTGTTGGAGGGGTGACAGTTCAGAATGAAGGAGAGTGAGGGAGGAGCTGCTGCTTGGTGTGAGTGAGGTTCTCACCTGGCCGGTTCACGTGACCTTTCCATCAGGTGGGTGGGGTGTCTGTGAAATTTCATTTGAGGCGGCAACTCCGAAATGGGGAGTGGACCGGGAAAAAGTTTCGAGGCTCGATTGAATGGCAATGTCCAGCGAGGTTATTTGTTTATAGGTCGGCGAGGATCTCAGCTACCCCCCACCAGCGACACCGGCGGAGCTAGTCGCGCAGGGCCTCGTGACTCTGCCAATCACATCAACCTACTGTCCTTCGGGACTCCTGTCTTCATCGATAACCCTAGTGGAAGAGGCGAGACACGATACATTGAATCGTCGCGCTTTTGCTGCACTCTTTAAACACCGTTACTGCCGCACGAAGCGGCTCGAGCCGGTTCCCAGGCGCCTCAAAGAGGGCCACCCCGCAACCACCTCTCCAAACACGGCCAAACACAGCCGCAGGAGCATACGAGAACATCTATGGCGAGCAGGCTGACGTGGCCACCCTCGCGACCGATTGAATTCCTCATCTTGATCATCAAACGCCATCGCCCGGAAGTATTGGCACTTGCTGACTCCCTCCGGGATATCCACCCAGTGCTCATACTGCTCCTTGTCCACCTCAGCAAACACTTCGGTCACCGAATCGTCACTTTGACCTGTGACAACCCGCCATTTCTGTGCGCGAGTGTCCCCGTTCCACGGAAAGTGCAACGTCAGAATTGTCACTTTGTTGTCAGCATCCAGGGGGCCGTGGGCGGCCATGCCGGCATCCCAGTCCAGGGGCCGTTGACTGCGCGATCAGTACCACGATATGAGCTCTAGCCTCCACTCTTCAGGTCCCAATCCATCCTTATCAGCTCTTTCCCATCGCTCGTTGTTTCGATGTAGAAGGGATTGGAGAAGAGGTTGAAGAACTCGTCTCGGGTTAACCCCAGACAATACACACCGTTACCGTTGGGCACTCGTCTGTAGCTGTGTGGTTAAGTAGATGCATGAAACGGGCGACGAAGTTCGTCTAAGCATCAGTTCGTATCAAGCAAATGAGGCGAAACAATACATGCAGAAACAACGGACAGCGCTCGTTGACTGCGAAAAACATGTCGCACACTGCAAACAAGCGCGAGACATGCAACATGACACGCACATTCAGAACCCAAGTCCAGCCAGCCACCTTACAGCCCCGCAGCGGGACTGGTGTGGGGGCCTGTATGGCCCGCGGCTGACGAAGTCCTCCGGAAACGCGCTGGCCCTCCGTGGCCCTCTAGCGGCCGCCGCGCGCTGCGCACGACTCGCCACTTGAAACGCGTTGTGCTTCATCAGCTCGACGAACAGGAGCTGGCTCCAGTGGTTGACGATGCTCTCTCGGAAAACTGTGTCCTCCATGGGAATGGATGTGGGGCGAGGCTTTCGCTTGGCGAGCATCTTGAGAAAATCCATGGTCTTGTCTCCCCATCTGCCGAATGTCTCCACAGCGAGGGGCACGAAGCGGAGGCCGGCCGCTTGGGTGATTGGTCCATACTTGTCGATCTTGTCTTTCTCCGCAAGCTGAGCCGCCTTGCCACCTGGGAGCTGTGCACCACGCCGGTTGACTGTTCGGTGGAAGGGAATGGGGGAGTTGTCAGGGCGGCAGGGGTGGGCGACGGTGACGTCGAGCAGGTAATCACTGCCATCGATCACACAATAGATGTCCATGCGCTGGTTGTTGGAGTTGTCATCAGGCGGGGTGATGCCGAGGCTGTGCAGAGACACCTCCACATTGGAGGGAACATCTGCTTCGGCCAGGATGCGAACAAACAAGTTGCGCATGTTGTTGTGTCTCGTGACTCGCTCACGGCCCGTGTGACACACGTAGAAGTGATCGCCAAACTTGTCCACCTCCCCGCCGCAGATGCATCGCTGCGAGACGGTTGCGTGCGGGAGGGCAATGCCGAGACACCCGGCGACGGCATGGCAATACTGGAAGTTGTTCAGTGTCTTGCTATCGCTGGAAGGGATTGCTGACAGCCAACCAGAGGAAAGAGGCCCTTGGCAGCTCAGAAGACGGCTGCCTTTGGCCCTCGCATAGATGCCTGTGTCGTATGAATGCACCAGACGTGCCTCCATTGGATGACCATGGCTATGGAAATCCAAGTCATACTCAACACCTCGTGAGCTATGCTTCCCTGTGGCGTTTATCGTCTCGAACCCGTTGTCAAACATGCTGATCCGGTATTTGCCGTCTGGTTTGCCCAGGTCTCTCACCTACATATTATGAAGCTACACGTGACCGCTACAGGAGTGTGGTCTCATGTCGCTCACGTCATGTTGCCCTGCGAAACGCCCTCTCGTATCGTCCATGATCCTAAACGTCGAAGAATTACACGACAAGGCCTGCACATTTTGTGACCCAAAGTCCAGCTCACTTGAAGTTTCCGCCCTTTCCACCGAGGCGCCACAGAACCTCGCCCGTATCTCTGCATATCGGCACGTACACGAGTCAGTGCTATGGATGGTTCTGAGCTAAAGCTGTCCGCACACCTTTCAATTTTGACAATTTGCGACATTTTTTCATTCTGAGCAATGCAGAAAAAGCAAGATGCGATGCATCGAAACCTGTTCGAGAGAATGTGTCAATGCGGGGCTCACGATAGCAGGATGTGGCCGTCGTGAGCTTCCTCTAGTGCTGAGGTCGGGAAATTCGCGGGGGAATACACGCACCCTGACGTTTGTAGCCTGTCTGTCTGTCTGTTTGTGTGTGGTTGGCTCTGCCTGTGCAGGTGGCCGTGTCGGACAGAAGAGCCGCCACCATGTGAACGACACCCTTCCCCTCCCACCCGATCCCCTCTCTCTCGATGCCGCCCAGACACAGGACAGCCGCTTGGAGGACACCGACGCCTGCCCGTCGGACCTGGAGCAGCGTGAGCAGGAGCTGCGGGTGTTCCGACGCGTGGTCTGGGGCAACGGGACGCTCTTGGTGGTGCGGATGTGGACCGACCCGTCCGCCCTGCCCCACTGGGTACCTCTCCCCTCCTTTGGCCGGCACGGAGTGACTGCGACGAACAGTGAGATACATGCCCAGCACACACTAAAGCCCTTCGTATTGGTGACGGCTGCTGTGCTGTATCAGGTTCTCATGGGGTTGTGACTCACCACATGGACGGCGAGGGGAATGGGGGGGAACCGCCACCTGCCGGGAGTCCTGTTGGGGGTGGAGCAGCAGCTGCAGCTGGTGCTCCTCAGGCCGCCGCAGATGGCGTCGAAGGTGTCGGCGGGGATGGCCAGGTCCAGAACGCCGATCAGCCTTCTGACACAGAGGTGGGCTGCACTGGGGCAGGGGATGCATTCATGTCGATACAGTGGATGGCATGCCTTAATTTCCAGGAGGAGATCTGTTCCGTGTGCGGGGCCGGCACGACGGACGAGCTGGGCCCCCCGCTGAGGTGTGTCGGCATTGCGGGGGCTGACGGGGATCGCTGCCCCACGTGCGACGGGGAGGCGTACAGACACATCGGGTGCTGGGGTAGTGTGGCCCTGCCGAGATGCGCAGGCTGTCGGGCGCTCAGTTCATCGGGAGCGGTACGAATACTGCTTTCGGAAGAGGTTTTTGATTCCCGCCCACGTGCTTTATGTCGCAGAACACTGATCTGCGGCAACAGGTCGACCAGCTACGCAAGGAACTGGAGAGGCTGCAGTTAGAAAACGCAGCCCTGCGAGCCACAACCAGTGCACGAGAGCACCACAGGTCCGTCACGCACCCGGGATTGTAGAGCCCGCTCACTCTCGTGTCTGTCTGTGTCTTGCCGTAGAATCGTGAGCGTGACGGCCTCACACAGGATGCCGAAGGTTGACAAGGGTTTCGTCAGCTACATGGACTATCGAGAGGTGGCCATGTGCAGGTTGCCGGGCAAAGTCAAGGTTGTGTTCGAAGTGAGTAATCTATCCGCACATCGGCGTCCTACAGCGAAGATCCGCCATTCACTCTTCTCTGATGTGTTGTAGGCCCACACGCTCTTGATGGACTGGAATAGCAGGCGCCCGAGTGGAGTGACGTTCTCCCGATACCTCATCGACCGACTGGACCCCCTCCTGAGTCAACTCGAGGCGACCGTGGTAGAGCAGGATGGAGGGGGGGGGGGGGGGGTGGGGGTT